AGAGGCCGAGCTGGTACAATATCCTGACTGTAAATCGTCCAGTGGTAATATTGGCGAGGACCCAGACCACTTAAATCAGAGCTCGTCTCCTTCTCAAATGTTTGCCTGGATGAGACCACAAGGTTGGGATGCATTTTTTTTTTTTTTTAAGGCGGGGAGAAGGGGAAGAAATGTGTTTTCATCTCACGTTCTACCTTTAAAACTCCCCTTTCCTGGCCCTCTTTTTTTTTTTCTTTTCCTTTCTTGGGTAGCTACAGTATTATGTATTACTTATTCATAAAGTAATAGACTTTTTTTAAAAAAGTAGAAACCGTGTAAAGACGACGGAGACAGTAATTGTGACTCGGTCTGCCCCTCTAGCTTGAGTGCTGTATATATACCAGACCTAAAGAGAGCTGTGTATCTTTCACCCCTTAAACCCGCTCCAGAAACCTGCAAACCTTCGGCGGCACCATTATGTTTTAAAACGTTTATTTCCTCCCCCCCTTTTTGTTTTATTCAGCAGCTCCAGGTAGAAGAAGAGGAAGACAAACCTACAGCCGTTTCCAAACTCTAGAGCTGGAAAAGGAATTCCTTTTTAACCCCTATCTGACCAGGAAAAGAAGAATTGAGGTTTCACATGCTCTCGCTCTCACAGAGAGGCAGGTAAAAATATGGTTCCAGAACAGGAGGATGAAGTGGAAAAAAGAGAACAACAAGGACAAATTCCCAATTTCTCGGCAGGAGGCAAAGGATGGAGAAACCAAAAAGGAAGCCCAAGAACTGGAGGAAAATAGAGCCGAAGGCCCCACAAATTAACTGCCCCCTCTAAATTTTTACCAGCCTGTTAAAACTAACGTTCAGCACATGCTGGTGGACACCACCTCCCTTCTTTGTTGGAAAGGACCTTGCCTGTGTTTCAAGCTACCTTTATGTCATTGCTCTTGAGGTTTCTTTGCTTTGAGAGGGATTTGGGTGTTTTGTTTGGTTAAAAAAATGTTTCTAGTACCAGATAGAAGCAGCACTTAAACTGGTCTTTGCAAGGGTAATTTGATACTGATCTAGTAGCTATATTTTTATAATGGTAATTTTTAACGTCTGAGCTGATTTTTTTGCCTCAACAACATAAACTTCCTAATGACTAGCACTAAATAATTAAATATAAGATGCTTTATTAATCAAACAAGTGCAATTGAACATTTAAAATATTTTCCTATGGTGAGTAAATTAAAAGAAGTCTATTAATTTTTTTAATTATGCCTGCAGAATATTTACTTTGTAGTATTTGATTTAAATGTATTATTTATGTTTTTCTTTTTGCTTTTATAATTAATGATTTAGCAACCTTTTGTTTAAAAGGTTTTTGTTGAGTATTTTTAAGATGCAGTATCTCGGGGATAAAGTCTGGGCCAAATATTAGAGAAAGCACATATTAACTGATGAGTGTAAGGTATCTTCAGGGCTCCACAGCTTCCTTAAACTTTGGGAAATTGTGCTGGACTAGTGACAAAGTTTCAGGACAATGTCAAAGTTGACATTTAATCATTCTATAGTCAGTACAAATTATGGCAATTAAATCATCTAGAGTGAATGAATACTTGAAAAGCAATTGTAACATTTTCACTCATTAACTTTTCACTCTGGCAAGTCGCCTTGTGGACCTTGTCTCCTTTCTCAGCTTGTTTTCTACTTTCATTTTGAACTGCGCTTGTAATCCCTAGGTCTCCCAACCTCCTCAGCTGCTGTGACTGTGTTTTTAAGTAGGTGCCACAATTATTTGTATTCCTTGTGCTCTGTTCACACACCCGTTTTGAGCCAACTTGCTGTGTGCATCTCATATGTCAGTTGGTATGTCCTCTGCTGTACTTCAGGAAGCAATGATTTCAGTCATTTGAGGCAAGTCCTGAGAGCAAATGCAGAAAAATTCGAATGTAAACAACCGCTCCGGAACATATCTAGCTCCTTAATAAAGAAATGAATCTCTTTCTAGAGCCAGTGTTGTTGAGCACCACCAAAATCCCCTTCCCCAAATTGTAAACAATTTCCTGGACTCACTTGAGGATATCTGTTTAATTTTTTTTAATGGGTTACATGCATTCTTCTATTTTTAAAAACGCTGCAGGGAGGGGGTAGTTTCTTGTTGCATAAAAGGCTAGGCTATCATTGCTTCTACTTTCTCTAACTGTTGAAATAGCTTTGAACTTCACCAAGGACTTGAATTTGTAGGCCCACTGAGGGCTGACTTGAGAGTCCGGGTTACACCAAACTTATTCCACTGAGCCCATACTGATGCTGGAATTTTGAATTGGTTATTAACAAGATAGCCATCTTCCACTTGAGTCAGCTTTTGCAGCTACCATTTTAAGGGTAAAAGGGGATGAGAGGAAGGAGAACAGGGAGGGGGAAATTAAAGTTAGTTATTCTCTTGGCAAAAGGGGAAAAGCACCTTTATGAGGCAGCTACTGAAGGGCTGTTTGCGGTTTCTAGATATTTCCAGAGTAGCTTTTTTAGATGAGTTGGTAAGAAAACGGAATCCTTTCACTTTGGGGCAACGTGGGCCACTATGGTATTGGCGGGCTCTTTGCCTTCTGAAGAGGACATACTGGCATTGGCCAGGCCAGAAGAAAAGAACCACCTAGCTTTCCATTCAGGGAAGAGTAAGTCACAGGTGGCCTGAGGCTTAAAAAACATTTGCACAAGAAAGACAACTTCAAAACACACATACTGGATTTGAGAACATTTTGCTCTGTGCACTGCCTGAAATTGCTCCAACTGGGGCAGACCAAGGATGTAAAGCTGAGAGACTGGAGCACAGCCACTGCTGCGAATTGTCTTCAGATGAGTGCTGGCTAAATTCCAGCTGCTCTCAACTTCAGGCATGTCTCTTAGCAGAACTGTGACTATCTCCCATTCAAGGTGCAAATGGCACCTTCAGAGGAGTTGTCTTTGGCAGTCTTTACCAGATAGAGTATTTGGTACATGGGCTGGTGTGATAATCAAGAAAGGAAGAGGAAGCTAAAACATCCTTACTTCCTCAGCATTCCATGCTGTGCTGGTGGTGGTATTCCCACTGGTCCCAAGTTCCCCCGCCCCTAAAACTTTTAATTCATGTAGGGCAAAAAAGTGATCATGTTGCAATAATAGCATATATGGGACTATGAATTTCTAGGTATACATAGATAACACATGCTGAGAAAATGTCGGAAAATGTTAATATACGTTTTCTTTTGTAGCTGGGAAAGACTAGCTCTGTCTCCAAATAAAGATAACTTGGAGAATTCCTCATACACTCAACATCTTTCATACAATGGCTAGACACCCCACCCCATTCCAGTGTTTCATGGAGACAGACCTGCAGTGACGGTGCATAGCACACCCTTCTAATTGGCTCAAATCTGTAAACATCCGAGCGCTGCTGCAAGAACCAAGCAAACGTTCTCTCTGCAGAAATTTGCATAAACCTTCAGAGAATCCTTTGCAAACCAAGGTGGCATTTTTCTGCCCTACTCTGATGCAGTCTGCTTACAAAGGTCCTTAAAACATTTAGAGACAAACAGGACCCTCCAGTGTTAGCACTGAATGAAAGAACCAAGCCTTTGGAATGATTTAGGCTCTCTGTTTGCAAGGGCCAGAAACACACAAAGGAGGGAGTGAGTCTCAATGGTTTCTAGTGAAAAGTCGGTTACGGAGAACTGCCATTTTGTGAGATCACACAAAGCCCAGGCGAGTTTACTTCGGCATAGGAGGTGGAGGGAGTGCAAACATGGCTGCCTTTCCTGGGCAGAGTCTAACACTCTTCCAAGCTGAAAAGAGACAAAGTGTTACTTGTAGTTGTGTGAATGCAAGAGATAATAATCAGAGAAACTGACAATTGAGGTTGCACTCAGGAAATTTTGGAATTAACTAATCTCTTTGCACATGTCTAGACCAACTTGTTCCATTTGCTTGTGTGTTTCCTTTGTCAATGAAGGTGTGCATGCATATTTTCTTTCCCTCACTATTTGCCGAATCTTTGGGAGTCTGGGGGTGGGCAAAGAAAGAAAACGTTTTCATGGACGTTGGCTGCTGTCCTTGCAATATTTGGTCGCATAGGCATTTTCTAGAAAGAGTATGGCTTTTGCTGACATGTGAGTACAGAAGTCCCAAGGAAAAAACATTCAAGGTCATTGGAATGACAAACTGGCCTACTCCAGAGGGCTTCCTGCACAGGTCCCCATCTACATATGTACTTAGTGGTGTGAGGTTGTTAACAGCAGGAATCTTACCACAAACATTAACTGTAAGAATTTAGAAAGATATTTCTCGAGGTCTAAAGACAGTGCCTTTGTAAGGACTGAGGGAAAGGAGTTAGCTCCTGAGGTAGGTCCTGAAGCTTGGACGGTCAAGCTCATGCCGCGAAGGGCATTCACTTCCAGGGTTTCGCTCAGAGAGCTCCTATCAGAAATGAAACTGGAATGTGACTCAGGCCTTGGAGGAAGAAAGATTGTTTTCTCTAGGCTGATTTTGTGGAATCACAAATGGATCCACACCTCAGGATTGCATTGTCTTGCTTTCCACTGGACCAATGCTCAATTTGAAGGCAAACAGGGAGGGAACTTAAATATCAAGCGGATGCTCATCTGCTCTTAGAAGGGACTTAAAGGGAATTCCTGATTTCAAAGGGAATCCAAAAAGACAGCTTCTCCTTGAGCCCAATCCTGCCCAGGAGGATAGTTCTGGATATGAAGGCCAGACAGTGGGCCCTCAGATCGGTATACTGCAGAGGTGACAAGTATCAAAATCCATTTCTGGACTTTGAGTGGGTTAGGGAACCTCCTGCTGCAGAATCTTCAGGAAATGGGAGGGTCCCCAGTTTACGTTAGGGCGGAGTTGGGGGCGCGGGCTTTTGACGGCCTGCAGAGCCCAGGTTGGTTTGGTGGTGATGTGGTGGTTTGTTTTTTTTTTTTTTCTTCCCTCAGGATCCCGGGACTGGCTTGTCGCCAGGCAAACGGAGCAAAAACCGAAAGTGCTCGGCGCGGGAGGCGGGGTGGGGGGGGTTAAGGGGTCGCTGGCCTGCGCTCAGTTCTCACCACTACGCGCCCCACTGTGTGCAGGGCTGGAGCGGCACCAAAGGGGGAAGAGAGCTCCTAGGAAAGGTGTGTGAGAGAAGGGAAGGAAGGCGAAGGCGCGAGAAACGGGGAAGGAGGCGCGGGGAAGAGCGAGAAAGGGGGAGAACGAGGGGGAAAACATGGCGCTTGCGAGCTGTATGTGCAAAATCCGCAAGGAATTGCAGTAAATTCCTTTTTGTTTGAAGAAAATTTACAACTTGGTAATAGACCTTTTTATGACCTATTTGCGGTCGTCATTGGCTGCGGCTGGTCATGTGCAGGCGCCGCTCGCCTTCACGGCCTTTTTCCTGATTTCCCAGGCGAATTTCTCCCCGCATTCTGCCTTCCCGGAGCCTCACCCCCTCTTCCCCTAACCTTTGTCTCCGCAGAGGTGGGCTCCACTTGCCGGCTGCGCGACGCCGGGCTCCGCGACGCTCGGGGATCTGGCTCGGTGCGGGCCTGGCCGCCGTCGCCGCCGCCTCGGATCGGCCGGGAAGCCCCGCGGGAGAGGCCGATGGAGCCCCGGGCGCCGAGC